TTTATATTTATGGCCAATTTTCTAATATACATATATATATATATATGTATAGCTGTCCTGAATCAAACTTTGCATAAAATCCAACGATGTCTTAAACTAGCTCGGTTCATCTCGATATCACACGGTAACATTGCGCTTGTGGTTTTATCTTTTTCTTCTTTATTTCTTGCATTCCTCTTGCAGCCTCACATAATTAGGAAGCAATGATCCTCATTCTACGCGAATCCTCTCTTCCCGCTCTGCCTTCTTCTCGCCTCATTTACCAAACTCAATGAACACTTGGTGGATATTGCGTTTATTGGTGTACTGGACGATTCTCCGTGATCGCGACTCGCGGAAGGTCCTTTGGCGAATGCGGCGAATTCCAAACGTTCATTCCTGATTAACTAATTTATCGTTATCGTAAAGAGGCGATACCGACTGATAAAAGCGAAAGCAAGATATTGATCGTAACAGCAACGAGATTGTAGACAAACACTCGTTCGTACGCGCGTGGAGATATGCATTGATCATATTCGTCTCTTTAACGTCATTAAAATTAGAGATTCACCATACATGTGGCGATCCTACTTGGCCACTGGAGTCGTCCAGTTCACTGTCCTTACAATATTATTACTCGCTGATTGGCTGACATGCGTTATAATCGCAGATGGATACATGTCTTCCGCATGTATATAACTGCAATAATCTATTAATCTAATGTATCTTATTTATAACAAACACTGGCTTTCCGTGACTGTGTAACTCGGGAGAGGAAAGGAGTATAACAACACACTACAATATCAGTATTAACGAAATGGATTCACGCGAATTATGTATAATCTTAATGCGAGCATAATATATCCTTTTCGCGTGCATGTACAAAAAATACAACGCGTCTCATTCAGTCCGTTAAAAATGTACATGCAGAAATAATAATAATAATAATATAATAAGATCACTAATAAAAATTAAAATAACACTGGTCGATAAAAATTCAACATTTTTTTGGCCTTAAAGTAAACGAAGTTGTTTTTGATAGATTTTGATGCGCTGATTACGAATCTGGCCGCGAAAATGTCGTATCACGTCAAGTTTTTGAGATATTCTAACTTAAAGGTGCAAAAAATAAGGTTTCTGGACCCTGCTTAAAGACAGCACATAAAAAGAAGTCATGCAGAAAAACATTTTAGGTTTCCATAAAACATGTGCTGTTGATGATGCCTTCACCGACTTCACAATATTTTTCATTTAATATTAAACATCGATCTAAAGGAAATCTCTTATTTTATTCTTGCGGAAAGAAGTTGCAGAATTTTTTAAGCATTTTTCGGCAATTTAATAACTAAAAACTAGGCTCAGCCAAAATGTGTACTCGACCACGTGGTATCATCTAATCACGTGTTGAACCACGACAGTCATGATGCATCATTTTTGCCGATTCGTTTGCGCACAAAAATTATTGATTTAATTAATATACAGTTTTATACTGTGTCTCTATAGAGTATAAAATTGAACTAAGATGAAGTACAATCAAGAATATCTTTTTTGAGACACAGTTTTTGAATATGTACTTACTGGGGTGTGAGTGTGCATTGTTCTGTCGTCAAGTAATTTAAATGCGTCGTTTTTCAATTCTATTTTTTCTCCATTATTGAAGTTTCTTATCTTCTTTTCGTCTTGACAATTTAATGATTTTACATTTGTTAAATGTGATCCTTAATCTGATGTGTCTTCTTCTATATTTTCTGAACATACATATTGGATTTCGTTCATATTATTTTCCATGTTAATTTTATTTGTATGGTTGTTAAGTAAATGTTTTTTTAATTTTTTAAAATACATTTTTGGATAAGTTATATCTTTGTTCGTACATTAACGGTCTTTAGTATTGAATATTATTTTATAAGTCGTTGAATGACGTTAAAAAACCTCATTTTTTTTGCACCTTTAAATTAGAATATCTCAAAAATTTAACGTGATACGAAATTTTCGCGGCCAGATTCGTAATCAGTGCATCAAAATCTATCAGAAACAACTTCGTTTACTTTAAAGTAAATGGTGTCGACCAGTGTAATTAGAGTAATCATTATGTGATAATAATAGTAATAATAATGGGAATAATAATACTTAGTGCCGTTATTATTACTATCATTATCATTATGTATACGCATATATAAGTGTGTCTACGAATATTTATGTATATAAGAATGAAGTATTTCATCCATATATATACATAAGCAGTATCTCTCTCGCTTCCTCTCTGTCACATCATACACACATGCAACACTGCACACATATACATTCTCTATGTACAAAGAGTAAACAATGAAATATTACACCGCTCATTAATTTTGGATCCCCATTCTCATAACGAGTAATATCATGGAGATATATCGGAGAAACCAACAAATTCTACAATCGACGTAAAAAGTTCTTCATCACTGCCACATTCATCTTGAATCGTGGCGTATGCAAGCTTTTCGAAAATGTCGCATAATACGAATCACATTGCGTATTCATCGCGTACCATTACGAACAAGATACTATCAACCTTTTCGGTATAGTAGGGTTCAGTCGAAAATCATTTTTACTAATCAAACGTAATGAAAAATTTAATAGCACATAGCTATTATATGTGTGTCAGAGAATTTCATGTACTTTTAAGGATGTAAAAATGATTTTACGTATTCGTTGATTTACCTCAGTGAGTGTTTCACAATGGTTGGTATAGTTACTCTTCATGCCGAAAGGATTAAAAACAATCTTTTGAAAATTACTGTAGATTTATTTATAATACACTAAAAAATTTAGATTAATTTATAATACACTATTAATTTTTGTATGCTATTATTATCTTGATGTTTCACAGAAATGTATGTGTATATATATATAAATTTTATATATATATACATCTACGATTCAATTTTTAATTTTTATTTAAAATTGAAATTATTATTTATTATTTATTACTTCTTCATTATTTATTACTTCTACTATTATCACTTATACATATTCGATTGTAGATATAAGTGACTATGTTACTATGTCGTAGATAAACATTATTTATGAAACATCTGTATAATAATGAATTACAAATTTAATACTATATTATAAGTTAATTGTTCATATAGTTAGATCGACAATTGAAAGTCGAAAAATTTATATCATTACAATTTATGATGCCAAAATTTTTTTATCAATTCTCTATCACGATTGTCATCTTCGAACTAGTATTTTGCTGGAGATCAATTTTCAAAAAGAAAAAGAAGAATTATGATCAATTTCTTCACTTCCAGATAAGTTCCAGATAACTTTATTCAGGAGATATCTCTATTGTATTCTAGGAGATACCTCCTGGATAAAGGTTATTTAGAGGTGAAGAAATTGGGCATTAATGGAAATACTCGACACAATAGCTTATAGTTTAAAAAAAAAAAAGATCAAAATTATACCTATTATTAGATATTTCTTTTCAAAATTTAAGGAACATCTAATTGATTTCCATTCTCTTATTTGTATACTTAGGTATACCTTCAATAAGAATCATGAGATCTATTTATTATCATCTCTGCATTATATCTTTGTAAAAAGAAGTCATCAATGAAGGTCAAAATACAAAATAATGAGTAATTTTTAATTTTATATTGTATTTGTCGCTGATGATGATCCGAAACTAAGGATCGAAACGTTAGACATAATATCTATGTTATAGATTTTAAGATTGTATTTTTGCGCACTGCTAACAGCGTTGACTCTTAATAGCCTTTATGTATTTACTCAATTTTTTGTATTGTTTTAAAACATATAAGAGTCTATAATTCAATTATATTATTAATTTATTAAATTTTTTACAAAATAATTAATCAGAAATTTCTTTTGCCTGTCAAAGATCAGAGATTTGTCTAAAAAGCGTCGAAATCTCCGGTTGAAAAGAAAAGATGACAACCATGATTTCTATTGACAGTCACGAAAATTTACTCAAGATCGATGGTGTTTAATAGTATCTCATTGATGGAACAATATATCGATATATAATATATATAACACGATATATATATTTATTTCCCCCACCCTGTCAACTTTAGAATTAGCAGCATAATCTTTCATCTATCTCTTAATTACAGCGTCTCGATAGTAAAAAGGTAGTAAGTAATGATAGAGCAGTAGCAGTACTTCTACCGGTATTAACAACATTAACGTAGCAATTGTGGCGGTAATAAAAGTAAAAAAAGAGATAAAACGTGATGGATCGCTTATGTTTATAAAGTATGTTTAAGGATCTAAACCTATCGTCCGCATGTATGCGCATATGTATGTTAATATATATGTATACATATATCTCTCTATGTATGTATAAAGATTCATCGCCATCGTTTAAATTTTCAGTCTGTTTCGGCGACACCGCGTCAAATTTGTCTACTATTATACCCTTCTTGCCGCAAACAACGAGAAAACAACGATGTCTCATGTTCGTTCACGCTATCGACGTTTATGAACACGCGCTGGCACATCTCTCTTTCGCATTACACGCACTCCTTATGTGTGTAAAGTCTCTCAACATTTACTAGATATATATATATATATAATATATATGCATACATATATATATGTGTATATGTACATATATATATATACACAAACACACACACGTATATATGTATGTATATATAGAGTTCTCGTCAAGTCTATTGCAGTCTCGTGTTTTATGTCGCATTGCTCGATACGTCGGGAAAAGTGAAAACGCTCGCACTCGCGTGATAACCGTTCGCGTCGCTCCTCCGTGTTTTCAAACTAGATAGAAAAACTTTACAGACGTTCGACAGCTCACTGGGAGAAAATTCTCCCGGGGGATGACATCGAAGCGTGCGACCGTTTTTATTCTTTAACAAGAGGCGAGACACACGACAGCAACGACAGTGACGGCGGTTGCTATAACACTCTATGTAGTAACAAAAAACTGAAGATCCGCGAAAGTTGTGTTGAGAATTTGCGTGCTACTTGCGTATTTTCCAACACGCTCATTTTGGTACACGATAATAACGCAGAACGAGATAACCCAGGGTCCGGAAAACGATTAGGAACGCCAGTAGCACTGCTGTGTTTGCCCACAATGGTAGACCAGAACCCTTGACCCCGCCTTGACTCTCCAAAATCGCGAAAACGGGTATCGTCGTGCCGTTTCTGCACTCGGCGAATTTACTTGGCAGCGAGCATCTGTTGTACAAAAAATTATTCAAAAGATGATTTTTTATCTTATTTTTACATCATTAAAATTCAATAATTCCTGATTACTCAATCAATCAAAGACTATAACTTTAATTGCGTACGTATAATTTTGTGTATTTTGTTTCATATATCTATACATTTATTTTTTGTAAATCATGTTTAAAAGATTGTTTTTTACTTGAATGTTTTTCTTCGAAAAAGAAACAATAATTTTCTTGTAAATTCTTTATATCATCGTAAAATTATGATTATCATTTTCGAAATTTACCAAATTTTACAATTATTTGTGATACATTTCTTTCCTGCTCTTACGTTCAAAAGAATATTCATTTCCGTAAAATAAAATGTTTATTATAATATGAAAAAAACAGACATAACAACACACAATATACAAATAAAAAATATAATCTTACGCAATTGGTTCGCCGACGCCGAACTCCAGAATCTGCATATTTTGATAGGCATAATGCATCATACTGATGTACCTAGCCCACGCTAACCATGGTGGGACCGACGTCGCCAAATAACCGCCTAGAAGCTGCGTCGAGAGTGTATAGAGCGCGGACACGGTGATGCCCACCTGCAGATCTTCGCAGCAAGCGCCCACAAAAAATCCGACACTCTGTAAAACATCACGAAATTGAGGAGCTGGACGCAATAAAACCGACTTATGTCGAACGGTTGAATGACCGGCCATCTCTCTCCACCTGATCGATAGCTTTCGAGAATGGTTGAAGTATTATATATACTCTTGTGTATTTTGATGCAAATTTCCAATCTCGGCTCGAGATAAACCGAAAGCGCTTGAAAGCGCCTATATATATATTTAACACTTTTCAATAATGTAAAAATAGTAATAAAACATAGCTGCGATTATCGATTACGTATATTATTTCCGATATAAACGATTATTGGGTATTTTATATTATATGAGGAATAAATATCGCTTACATTACGAGTTTCAAATAAAAGTAACTTATGTTCTTATGTGAGTTTTGATAGCTAGATAATATTGTATTAAATGATGTGTTGACAATAGTAGTTTCTTTTGATTTTATGACTAGCTTTTTGAGAGTGACAAATAGCTATATTTTTTAATTCAATTTATAATTTTACATCTTTTTTTCGTAAAAGTAGCAAAAGACACCATATATAGTTGGTATCTGTTGATATATTTTAATAAAATGCTAAATTATTTTATATTATTTTAAAACAAATATGTGCCAAAAATTTTGATGTAAAATAATAAATTTTTGATTTTTATTGACTGTAACTATATTTAACGTATTGGTTTGATATTTAAAATTTCCTTCACTTTAACAAATATTTTCATATTACATTTCTCTAGAAAAGTAAGGATTAAAATCAAATTTTTTATCGCTTTTCCATAAGCGATAATTGAAAGAATTATCTGATAGACCGACGTTATGATGATAAAAATTGTATTACATTCTGAGAGTTAATTACACAATTATTGGAGAGCTGATTGATATGCTTCTGCGAATTTCAATCCAATATCCGAGCATTGTCCAAATCGATATTGATATTCTTATGATAGTACATGTCAATAAAAGTAAAATTCTGATATTTATCAATCTTTGTGGATATGATTATCTTGCGCGCGCGCGCGCGCGCGTATAGGTATAGATAATTATCAAATTTCCCATTATGTTGTACATATTAATCATTGTTTATTCACGAATTTCGATTCAGTTCAACGTTTCATTGTATCTAATTGAATGGAATATTTTGATGCATAAATCAATCAAAGCCAAAAGTCTCTTATATTCTATTCTGAATTAAAGTTTTTGTTTCGAAATGACATAAAAGGATCATTTATCCGATATCTAATATTGGATACGATCAAACAGGAAATTGCATACCTGTGCGACTACAGTATTGAGTAGCAAGAACGCGAGCAGCGTGATGAAGACTGCTATATTATGGAAGCCCAACATCGGATAACTAATCACATGGTAGACTGCGGGCAGCGTTATCGTTAACGGCAGCTCGCCTACCATCTTCGCCAGGTAGTAGGCTGAGAGCCGATAGGATCCTGACAGGCGTTCCTTGTTGATCACCTCACGCTCCGGGGGAACTGGAAAAATATTGTCACCGTGCATTATTTTCAGAATCATCCCCGAATAGAATTTATGTAGGGTGAACACGTCGCGCGTTGATTATAACAAGTTGGGGATAATATTAAAATCGGTTTTACAATTAACCCATCAAGAGCGATGCATTTAACGCTTCATTTCGGACTGTCTCGCTTTCCGCGGAATAAAAGATTAAAACCATGACAGAATCTCAAACTTAGTAAGAATTTTTCGTATATTTATTTCTAAATGAATTGCACGATAATTGACGTGTGTCCGAGTTTTAATTTGTCTAAGATGATTTTATCTAAAATTTAATTAAATTTTATACAAATTATATATACGAGAAACGCGTTTCAACCAATATCTCAATTTATTATCTCATTATATATTCGAGCACTTTTCTCGATTTTATGTCATTTTGTAAAAAAAGAGGCATATTTATTATTTTATCAAATTTTATTGGATCGTGAGAGTTTTAAACTAAATACCATGTCATAATGGTCAAGCTGGATCTTGGAATGTCTTGGAGCTTCTAATATAATTTCGTGTGAATTTATGTACTACGTATGTAGATTCTTAAATGAGTGCCGAAAAATTTTTCATTCAACATTATTAAGATGCTATGAACATCAAAATTGTTAGATTGTTAGTTAATTTAACTCATGATAGTACTGCGGTAGTTTATTAGAGTTTGCGTTGTAAGTCTGAAAAAAATTTCGGCGCGCATTTAAGAATCTACATACGTAGTATATAAATTCACACAAAATTATATTAGAAGCATCCAAGATCAAGTTTGACACCGTTACGGCATGTTCTCATCCGTATTTAGTTTATTATTTTACATGCATATATTTGTGTCTGCGCACTAATTATCAAAGAAACATGAATTTAAAGACTACTTTTATAGAGCACGTATTTCGTCTGGCATTCCACACGTGCTAATTCTTGATCGAACATTCTCTGATCTCTTGTGATAAAAGTGAGCCTTATTGAATACGCTTGATTAAATACGTTATAATAAAGCCCAATTATTCAATCAATTCCATCTGCTTTTCAAGCATTTTAAAATAAAGTTAAAGTAATTAATAAAAAAAAAGTTCTAAGAGAATGAATTTCATTAACCGAAAACAAGTTTTTATGATCGTATGCTTCAAACTTAATTTGCAAATAAATATTTTAATTGTTAATTTAAAAAATCTACAAAATTATATTTTCGTGTGTAACCCAAAACTATTTTGTCGGCTTGCTACAAATTTAATATTTTATAACTTTGTTTCGTTTAAATGTCTAATTAATGCAGGTATTATCGAGATAATCAATCTAGCCTCGACAATAGATATTTCCTCTTTGTAATGAAATTTTTTTTAGTTCTAACTTTCAATTATGAAAACGTAAATGAGAATTAAATCTAACTCACAGCTAGTGAGTGCTCCAAAATGTGCAAAAAGCATCCAGTATGTGTTGCTGAAGAACATCCACCCCTGAATATCATGAATGGCTGCTTCAGTTCTGGGAAGACCCAGCCATAAAAGTCCAGTTAGAAGCCCGAGAATTACCGTTTGCAACCAGTGAAGACGCGACAACATTCGTGGTCGTGCCTCTTGAAAATTTCTTTCCGATAATACCTGAAATTAAAGGAGAACATTTCGTTTGTACAAATAGACGCAGGTTTTTGTGAAATTTTGTTATGAATTTGCACCAAGTTGCTAACAAAATACGTTAAAGATTCATTTGTATGATTCTTATCATGTGCATAAAAGTTTTTGGTAAAAACTTAGGATAATGTTCGAGCTATGTAACGTATAAAATTGTAACATGTAAAATTAAGATATATATATATATATGGATTATTTCACGATACATCAATTTTATAATAATACATATCAATATACAACATAGACAGATTAATATCTTCAGAATGACTCGATTATATCAGCGTCCGTGAGAAAATAGAACGCAAAGTTTCACAATGATTTCGAAGGTCTTTTTAAACAATAACTGTGATACATACAGAGTGTCTCGGACATCGCATGAAAGGCTAGTTTTCGATATTACTTGTTGTTTTACGATGTCCGCCAGGTCAACGAACAAAGAGAACGAAATTTATGTTCCATGTCTCCTAGTTCAATAAATATCGCTAATATACTATTGGACCTTGAACGCTCTAACTTTTTCTTTCTCACGACGATAAGAGGTAGTGGAGTGCCACTGGTAGGCCGCGAAGAACGCGTGGTTCTGCCAAGTAAAAGTGATGCAAGTGACGCGGCGTTCGTATTCGTACGTAAAGTGCGATTACGAACGGGTATACCGGTCGCGCAGTAATTATCCGGATATGGCAAATCGTGCAAACGCGTCCTAGTTCTTCTCTTTATGCTCGGTCGGTCTTCTTCTTTCCCGTAACATTTATATGCGTGCGCGCTCCCCTTTTTCTATCTCTCTTGCGTATGTGAGAGTCTCGATGATGTCGCGATCCACCTACAACATGATCGATGACGCGTCCTCCACGAATAGGTAAACCGGTACACATTAGTCTAGATGCATTCGTTAATCGGCACCGCGATGAATAACACGGAGTATGCCGATTCGCTTTTTTCTTTTGCGGTGAGTATGCGTCGTGTGATCTGACTTGAAGAATTAGTCTGACTGTAGCGGCTACACTTTCATCCGTCGCAAAGGATATACTTTAGGAATTATGAATAATTACGTTGAAATGTCCGCTTGGAACGTCCAAGACCTACTATGCCAGTTTCCAGATGTTAATAAGACTCAAAATGAAAATAAACTGCTTCAAGAATTATACATTGAGTTAACGTCATAAATAATTGAAAGGATATCAATGAGTTCAGTTTCAAAAAATGAATAGATTATAATATAAATAATATGTGAATAGATAAGAAAATTTTTTTTTTCTAATTATATCTTTTCTTGTAAAAAAGATGGTTTTTTAATTCTATTTGTTTATATTACTATATTTTTATATTGATTTCTTATACAATGTTTTTACTTGACATTAAATATGATATATTAATAATAATACACTTATAATATACCTTTAAAAAAAGAATTATTTATTTATTTATCGTTTTCCACCTTCTATAAACGGAATAGTGTAGCGTCGAACGTGGTAAAGAATGCTTAAGCGAGTAGAATGGCATTGTATTCGGTAATTGCTGCAAACATTCGTAGGGCATACTCACTTTGAACTGCGACCAGAAACTAGTGGGCCATTGCCAGGAATAGTCGTCATCAGCAGAACTCGCGCTGCTACTGGCGTGGCTTTGTGTATCCAACCATAGTGTACGGCCTTCGTCTTCCTTCACTGTAAACCATCGGGAAATGGGTGTTTAGAGTAGCTTTGTGAGAATTGCATCGTCGATAAATACACAGATAGGTAGAGATATACAGTTGAAAGAAGAACTCGATGAAAATAATTTCATAATTTCGCTTTTCTATCGTATATATATATATATATATATATAAACATTGCAGTTTTTTTTATCATGATTAATCCTAACAAGTTTTTATTATTTAATTATTTACATAAATTTTTATGTAATATTTTATTATCTACAATTTTTTTCTATCATGTTGGATTTTCTTTATAGAAATAATTCTTCGTTATTAACGGCCTCTGACATAATTCTATTAATATTAAGAATATCAAAAAATTTAGAAATATTGAAAAGTAGTTAAATAAGTACTATTAATGCGCGCGTGTATAAAACTGGTTCTCATTTACAAATTTTTTATGATAAATAGAAAAGTTATACATTTGCCTTAGAAAGTCCCGCACCTATTATATTTATTTTTGGCAACTTTAGTTTTAACTTTTTTAGTATTTAATATTAAATGTAGAGAAAAAGAATATTTTGTTTTTCTTATTCCAATTTAGATTTGTCAAATTTTTTAACATCATTCGTTTAAAAAATAGCGATTTTTATCTAACCTCGTTTAATATGTATTATCAAAAATTGAATTGAAATGATTCTAAACTATTTCGAAACCGTCCATGGATATATGTATTAATTACACCATCAAGCGTGGAAAGATAAATAACTCTTAGGAATCAGTATGCCCCATGGCGCTTTACTAGAGTCTTTATTAGAGGTATAAGAGAAGCGCGATCGGTCAGAAAACGTATTAAAAATGGCATCTTTTACAGACAGATTGAAGTCCATCACCTATTCGTCTCAACCATTTTTAATACCAATAAATAAATCTCATGATTGGCCACTACGCCAATCAGGATGCTTAATATCGATCGCGCTTCTCTTATATATCTAGGACTCTACGCTTCATGAGTTAAAGACTTGACTCTGAACATTCAATAGACAGATTCAGTCAAGTTATCTATCTTAGTAGTTCATAAAGCGGCCCTTCTAGGGTTTACCGTAAGTCGAACGTAACACTCGATCTTTGAGCAAGTGTGCGCTTTAAATGGACACATCGGAGTCGTAACGGTCTGTCTGCGGTCCAGGAGAAAGTCTAGATGTGCATATATTTAAATACATATATCGCATGGCGAAGTGCATACTATATAATACCGTTGTGGCTGATGTGGTGCTCCGGATAATGGATGAGATGGTCGCAGAGCGGATGTTGGCTGGGATTATACTCCGGGCGAAGTTCCGGTGGGCAGTCAGGTCCCTGTCTTGCAGCTCTCGCTGCGGTAACGATGCCATTTCGAACTTCCTCTGGCCCCTTTATTTGTTCCACTGAAACAGAAGCGTTTCGTACAACACCGAGCTCTCTTCTCAATCGACTCTAATCAATTCACGTGAACAACCGTTTCCCGCGGCATTTCACCAGCGCAGTTATTTAAAAAAATAGACAGTTTGTGACAGTATTAAGTGTATATATATTCATATATTTACAAACAGAAAATTACTTGTTTCGATAATAATGAAAAGCACATTTAAGGAAAGTGTATTACTTTTATTTTCAAACCGTATGTATATTTGTTGCATTAAAAAACACTACTTATGCCATGTAATGTTAAACATGATATTGACATTAAATAAACAAATATAGAATATGTACCTACATATTATTATAATTTTATTTTTATAGATATATCTTTTAATTCTTTTGCAAAATATATATTATTTTTTGTGACACATATATGTATACATAGAATTTATGTAATTATATAAGAAAAAAAGTCATATCGTAGAAAATGTATTAGACAAATTATAGATAGGAGCTGATTTTTTTTTTTCGAAGATCACAAATTTTGTGAATTTAAAACGCATTTAGAGAAAAATAAAAATCGTGGTTAGGTATGTAAGTTCATTCGTAGGTATATGTAGTTCAACGAAATCAGTTTATATATATAATAGTAAAATGTACTTACGAATGAAGTCCGCGGGGTTGTAATGTGGCAATAGAGTAAGTCCTATTGTAGAGAAGAATCTACCGACATTCGCCGTCGGTCCATAGTACGCCACCTGACCGTTACTCAACAGGAGAAGCTTGCTAAAACTGTGGAACATCCTGGAACTAGGTTGGTGTACCGTCACCACAATACTTTTACCCTCCTGTTCAGCATATTTCTTCAACCGCGAGATCAATGCCTGTGCCGAATGTGAGTCGAGTCCGCTCGTAGGTTCCTGAAAGATAAAAGATTTTATAAATTTGCAATGCAATCATAATGTTTCTGGTTCTAAAAAATGGAAAAAAATAAACAGTAAATTAAACTGAGACTAAAATTAACTACATTGATATAGAAATAAACATAAAAACATTTTTATTAAATCAAACTTTACGTGGAAAATTAAATCATTATTTATTCTATCATTTATTTTTTAATTTATAAATTGTATGATATGCAGATCCGTAATATTGAATATATTTTATATATATTCGAAGAATTTTCTTTATTACAATTCCTTATTATCACAAAATTTTAGATTCGCGGACAAAAGAATTGAAAAATTTTCAATCCTACATTATTCATTTTATAGTTAGATTTATATAAAGTTTGTAAGTTTCTACATAAGTTTCCATAAGTTATTTAAATTTTGTATAATAATTTTATCCGATTGGTTAACATTTAAAAATAATTATATTATATTATGAAAATAGAATATGTGAATATAAATATACTTTCTGTAAAACTGATATAATATAACAATTATTAAATCAATTAGGCATAAATATAATAAAACTTTAAACACATGCATCTAGTTTACAAAGAAAAAATGTAGGAAAGTCTTACATCAAGTAGCATTAATGATGGATTCGTGAGTAATTCGCAAGCTATACTTGTCCTCTTCTTTTCACCACCGGAAATTCCCCGTTTCGAATAATCTCCAATAACTACATAAGAAATACATCATTACTCTTTATACATTAAAGAAATATGTTAAATTACAAACAATATCATTTAAATAATATAAAAAATATAAAAATTAATCTTTGGAATTTATCAATTAGGAAATTGAAGAAATCATTTTATATTATCGTCAATTTATATCATTGAACACACGATTATGATATAACAAAGAAATATGTCTTAAAACGTGCAGGCGTAATACAATTGCGAACGGTTAAGTATTTTCGCGTGGAATTAATGCGCACTGTTTTCTATACGCGATTGCACTACCAACGGAGTGAATAATACACGAAAATAGTACTCGACTAAGCAACAAGATACGCGGAGATCCGTCATACGAAAGATATTGAAAATGTAGGCGATCGTAATTACCATGTCACGCATTTTACCGAGGCGGAGGAAAAAAGGGGTATTTAACTTAGAGAGGTTCAGAAGATACGACGCGTATGTATGATCTCAGACAATAAAGCGTCAAAGGCGTTTTATTAGCATGCGAACCTACGTCCGCGTAGTCGCAAATAACAGAATCACGAGCAGATATCGATGAAAAATCCACCGCTGAAACAATAAGGATAAATGGTTTTCCCATTGGATCTTTCCCTTTCCCTCGGTGGCGTTGGCGTCCGACATTCTCGGTGCCGATATTTCGGATTTGCCAATGCCAGCTGGAACTATTAAACGAGACGCGGGGCGCGTGATCTCTGACGCGTGGTAAATTATTAAACTTCGTCGCCGCTGCCGCCGCCGTCGGTCGCTCACGCCTTCGGGGCACAGGAAGAGAAACGAACGTATAATTGTGTGCGGGGAATAATATTTTACGTCACATGCGAGGCGGTCGCGTTCAGCGCTCGAGGAGCCCGGGGGTTAACGATCGAGGAAACCGTTTATCAACCGACCGACAATGAGCCCGGCGCTCTGCGGCAGCCAGAGATACGCGAACTTTCCCTCGTTGATATTCCGGAAAATGTCACCACGCTTCCGCTACATTCGACGTTTTTATGCGTGGCTGAGTCAGACGACACGAGATGACCGTAAATTCGCGTTTACGTTATTCGAGTAAGACTCTGAGATCAATTAAGCTGCCGAGAGGCTTTACTTTGACAAAGGCAGTTATTTTAATGAGCGATTGAATGTAAAAAGAATGTCTGCAAAATACAATTTGGAGTCATTAACGGATAAGATCTTATTCTTCAAGATCTAATTAAGATTCAGCGGGTTTTTTTTCTTCTCGCTTCTTGCGGATTTAACGCTCAATTGCCAATAGCTGTCTAACTTCGGAACATTAAGAAGCGACGTCCAATCCAATTTGCTCGTTAACGAAAGATGTATATTATTTTGAGAAATGATGTCTTGTCCAATTTTCTCGTTAACGACGAATCATTCTGAGAATCTCACGACGTACGTGAAGCGCGAGACATGCATGTAGGTCAGCCTGTATATTACTTGGCTCGTTTTTCCCACATATTTCGATAACGCGCCCATAACTGCTTGATGCTCGGACGGTTCGATATTCGTGATCACGGAAACTGTCAATCAAAATGTTAGACCAAAACGGAGAGTCACAGTGACGATAACAATAAGAGCCAGTCGCAGATAACACGATTCACCTCTGCCTCGGTTTGGGCTACGGTCAGTGTTAAACATTGAAAAGTCGGGGGGCTAATTATATTTATATAGTTGTAATGCGAAAACTCGAAATGTATATCAAATTTTATAGCGGGTATAAAGTGAATAAAAAGGACTAAAGTGATCTAAACAATTCTATTTTTAGTGAATGTAATGTATGATTTTACTAATGTTTCATGATAGTGTTTAAATATTTTTAAAAAATTTACTAACATTATTTCTAGCCCCAGATAAATAAAACCGTTACCTGCAAATGAATAACGAGGCGGGTCTTTGTATGGGAACTCACGCGTCACCCAGACATGAACATCGTGCAGTTAAAGCTGTTAAAGCGTCGATAAATGCAAGTTCCCGAAAATCACGTAAAACTGAATTTAATGACATTCACTATCCAGAGCTACACGATGAATCTTGATCGAGCGCGCTTCTAACGCTGCACATGGAATCGCGGGCCACCGTTGTTTACGTATCGTAGACGTGTATATACGCGCAAACGTATTTTACGAAGAAATCGAATGAATTACGACAGGTGGAATCCTCGGCTCGTAGTACCGAATCGCGTGGCCGCAGAGTCTAAAAGCGTCGCGGCTTGACATCGATCCTTCGGCTTTACGGCGCGCGCCGTCATACTCACTGGTGTCTTGGCAGCTCGCGAGGTCGAGGACCTCGATGATGTGGTCCACGCACTGCATCTTCTGGGAGTGCGAGAGGGTGTCCGGAAGCCTCAGCCTCGCTTGGTACTGCAAAATTATACGATGGGATACAAAACGCGTGACGTAGTCGCGCGACCGCGCGATCGGTTTACGCGCGCTCTGACGAGCCGCGTAAACGCGCGCATTAAAACAGCAACGTAAACAAAACCATGCCGCGCCTCAGCGCAGTGCATCGCGGCTGGTGGATGCATTTCCGTTTCGTAATATATCCAGGCCACTTTGTACTATTATTACTCCGGTCGGCTCTAACGCGCCGCGCCGGGGGCGCGCCCGTCACAAGCCGATCGTTAAGTCAATTACGATGACGCGTCGATTGCGAAACCGCGGGCTGTTTTTACCTCGGAAGGATGTCTGAAAATTAGTTAATTCAAGAGTACTTGCATGAGCATTGCGTAAATCACTTTGTCTTACGGTTCGACAGGTGCTAAAGAACAAACATGCGATTAATATATTTTTCAAATTAAAACATGACAATTGCATTTAAATTCGATTTTTAAATATTTAATTTGACGGAAAGGATTAAAATGTCACCTGATGCGACAAATTCTTTCGTCTCGTCAATTGGAATAATCTCGGAATAAATCGATAATTCATCTTCAAAGTGATCTTATCTTAATCTTTTTGAAATTAGATTGATTCGATTCAAGCCTTTTCACGGCGATTAATTATGTTATTTTAAATCGAACTCTGTCATTTCCTCATTGGCGAAAAAAATTGGCACAATGTTAAACAATGGCTACATTGTTCCGTTATATACACAAAAAGATACATATTCAATTTATGTTCCATGTATGCCACTTTTACAATTTATTATAAACGTTGAAAAATTTAACATTTTTCACTGATTATATTTTGGCAACAGAGTAAAATGGATAAAAGCCTCATCTTCCATTATACATTTACCTTCACGAGATATTCCCTCGATAAAATATCGATTTAAATCAGCATGTATAGTTATAGGAATATAATTGGGCTGCGTGGGGACGCTAAAACATTTGGGGTAAAGAACTGTCCCGTGAAATTTTCCGCGACGCAAACGCGTCAATTTCGTATACGCGTCCAAGAATGTGTCGTCGCGCGACTTGATGTGCGATGATGTTACGGATCGCCCTTTATATCACAATCAACCGCGGCAACACGTACGGATATAGAGACCGGCCGAGATGACGACGTGCCGTTTCTCAACGTCCATTCTCCTCGTGCCGTTACACAAGAGGGGGCCCCGTTATGCGGAGAGAGAAAGTGCGGCCGATGATATTGTGCTCGCCGGGAACACAGTTATGTCTAAATAAAGATAACGACGATACCCGGACTGTGGAACCGGACCGCGGAAAAGTGAACCTCTTCTTCTGTTTCAACCGTTTACATTCCCGTCTTTGAAACGAAAGGACCTTTTGACGAGGTCGAGCTTTAAGAATGAGGACAGTTAGCACGATCTTCTTATCTCTTGCTTAACTTCGGACACAATCTTTCTTTTCTTTTCTTTCCGTTTTAATAAGATTAAAATTAGATTACATTGGCGTAATTAAATAAAATCATTTTGCAATTTTGTCACAATTTCAAAAATTGTGAATAAAATATACGGACAAGATATAAGAATCGTTTCTTAATAAAAAAAAAAACTAAATATGCACGAAATCATAAGCATGATTTAGAAAAATGTGTGAGCAACGATATTACTTCTCACAAATCTTCTAAATTAATACATTTACACAAATACTAATAGTAAGATGATTTTCGCGCAATTTTTCACTGCTTTCATTTATATCAAAGAATCAACTCGCTCGAGAGAGGTCATCGATCCGCAAGATATTAAAAGACGCGTTACCTTACAAAAAGTTGTACGATGGTCCCCGAAGAGAAATCAGCCTCGAACTTTAGGTTTGTCCGCCGTTGAATGGAAAACACAATTCTATGGTAGACAACAGAAGCGAGAGACCGTTGTGCGGAAAGGGAGAGGAAGCGGCTAGAAAAGAAGGCAGAGGAGAGGAGGCCTCCGGGATAGAGAAAGTGTCATCCCGTTGAAAGGAACTACACCGCGGTTTTACCTCTCTCTAAACAGCGCGCGCCGTGTGCACGCGCGGTATGCGCGCGTGTAGAGGCGGCGCCAAATGTTTTCGAAACCGTAAGACGCACGCCGCGGAGCTCTCGGGCGGTTCACTGACCGAGTTATGACGTCACCGCGAGAGATACGATCCCCCCTCCCAACTCCGCGAGCCGCTGTTCCACGCTAACGGTCGCGGCTAGACGAACGGACGGTTCGTTGCGAGAGCGCGTGTATCGCTATGCGTGTGACACGCGCGTGCCGCGTAGGTACGCGCGCGCGAGAGTGGGCGTTGTGCACGTGATACTTCTATTTCTTTCTCTAATTCATTTTATTTTTACTTCACCTTTGTCTCTTGCGTTTTACGTCTCCAGTTTATATCAACTGTATTGCGTATCTTTTGTAACAATATTTATATTTACTTTGTAGGGAAGAGAAAAAGAGAGAGAGAGAGAGAGAGAGAGAGAAAGCGGTTATTTATTAAGCGGGACAAGATCGAACTCTGGTTCTAATTCTAATATTGATTTGCTTTCTCTCTCTCTATTTTTTTTCATTATTCAATTTTGCTCGGTTTCTAAAAGTGTATAAACATCTCATGTCGTAAACAATTTTTACAATTTTTGCAATGTTTTAGCGTTTGAGAGAAAATCTTGTTAAATTATTCTCGACAAGTGTAGAGCTTTACAGTAAATAGCAATATCTGTATCTATCCATCTTTATTCAGATGTTTTGTTGAAAAAGTTTTGCCCCGACAAGACGTAGAACAGGATTGTTTTAAACTCGGTTTCGAATGTTCGACCGATTGATCGAATTTAAATTATTTACACTCGCTCTCAATGCGCGGCTGCGCGATGACGACAGGCAAACAAACCTCGGGTATTTGAATTTAAGCTGTATGCAATCTCTCATTGTTAAACGTTCTTCGGTATATGAATATATTCATTCGTTGTACCGTTACATTTTGAACTTACGAAACAATGTATTTTTAAACGGATACTTTATCCGGAAATATGGAATCAATATGTACCTATTTGTCTGTCTACATTTTATTTTGAGACGTTAATTATTCTTTCTAGTTTAATATTATCATAATTGCCTCAAAAGATGAGATTTTTTTCTTCCTTACATGTTATTTTATATATCACAACTTCGCCGATTATCTCGAAGAATAATTGAAAAATAATCGACATTATTTAATTATCATGATATTTTTGACAATCTTCATTCCTTCAAAGAAATTGTTTTCAATTAGTAAATGTATACGGAAAATGAAAACACTCCCAACATGTTTCTGAAATTAAATAGGGTACGGTCAAGGGTAATCTTACCACGAATACCTTGAAGCCAATCAGAAGAAAGAATCCGTACGAATTAATCAATCGAAGAACACTTCAAAGCATTTCAGATTGTACAGTGACGGAGAGCACACCTACAGTCTTTCGGTTCACCTTATTACGAGACTCTCTGTCTCCCGATTCGCAATGACTCGCGACGCACAGGTGCACGCGCGCGTGTGCGTAGCGGCATGTTTATTCGATTAGAGCGGCTATAAAGCGACAAAGCGCGTATCTGTCCGCGTCCGTTTTCCGCCCAGACCTCTTAAATCCCCCAAGTGCAACGGGGCACATTGGCTCCTAGCCCGAATTTGCATTCCCCGCGATCTTTGACGGTACAGGGTGTCCTCCTAATTCCTGCTTACTTGGCGCGTGGGTCGTGACGAATATCGAATGGAAGGCACGCTCTGGCACGTTTGATGCCGGGATTTTCGTGGAAAACGAGGAAATGCTACGCTCGTTTCTATACGTTTTGTTCTCTTATTCCTGGATACTGGTATACAGAAATGCATCCACAGCACTGTCTCATTTCTATCGTTGCGCTAGATTCTGTAAGTTTTTCTATAAGTAATTCTATTGAGACACACACCTCCTCTAAGTTTTGTGCATACAAATAAATTATTTTTATCTTCTCATCACGATCAGCTTTGTATCGACGTACCGTTGACCGATTTGGTTTCATCGTTTATTTATATGTATACAAAAGTTAGCGGGGCGCACAGTAGCGATCTATAGACTGAATCATCAGCGCGCACAGTCAAATATTAAATGCATAATACCATAAGTAAATGTAGTGTCAAAATATTTCATTAACATGATGTATAATATACAGTACCTATAACATACATAATTTGAATTTAAAAGTGGCACAATACCTTACTCCCTCGCGCGTTTTTTAAATAAAAAGTTTGACTTTTCAACTCGCTTTTCAATTTATTTTAAAATCAGTACAAAATACCCTGACACTTATCTTCAACTAATAAATCATTGAATTTATAAATATAAAAAGCGAAACGTCAAAATATAAAAATAACTGTGTATCGTGCGCCCATAATTAGATTACAGTTCCCTGTTATAATATGATAATCTCTCTGAACTTACCTCAAGTGTCTGCCGTAAGGTGAGATCAGGGAAAAAAATATCCTGCTGTTGTACGTAGCAGATTCTTCTGCGCCACCGTTTGGTGAGCCTCTCGCGATTCAGCCAGATCTCACCGCCGTCCACGCCAACACGGCCGGACAAACAGTTCAGCAGTGTTGTTTTACCACAGCCTGCGTAACAAATATGCCAGACAAAAATTTAGCGCCTCCGTATGCTGTCATGTAAACTCGTTGTATATTTCAGTGAATATATCTTTCACGTATCGCGTGTTAGGCGTATCTTACGCGCGCGAAAATCCTTATGTAAAGCCGTATAAATTATCGGTGGACTAATAACCTTCGCTGATTTGAAAATCTACAATTTTTTACTTATCTATCCCTTCCCTGACGAGAAAAGGTGATTCTGTCTATGCATCGCGAGCAATATTTGAAAACTTCTAGCTATAACATACCATTAAAATCTTAATAGTTTTTGGTTCTCTGTATCTTTATGTAAGTTGCTTAAAACGTTAAATTCTCATTTCTGCTATTTGTAAAATCAATAAATTCTCAGATACGCGATCTTCGAATATTCGAACTGTTTCGATCCAGGTCGATGAAACAGTAGATTTACAAATATTTTTAGACGCTCGAAGTAAGATAAATTACAGAATTGTTAAAAACAAGTATATTATTCGTTGCGCGATCTAAAATGTAGGATTAATGTAATTGCTATAATATTATAAATGTGTTTGCACACTCAGAGAATTTTTTCTTATTAAAATGCCATTGAAACTCGTGAGTTCATCTTTAATCGTGTCATAAAGATTTAATTTTGTCTCTCTGTATTAGGAATGCCAGAATTTAACGTCGAAATAATTAAATGGTCGGTGATTCTGGATTCGTTCGACTGGATTTTGTATGTGGCGCACGATGCGTCGAAACGGACTTTCTCGCCGTGCAGTGATAAATATTCCAGCCGAACGAAATTGCCGGGCTGGTGTATATTTCGCCGCCGCCGCGCATAAAAGCGGTTAAAGATAGAAACGCAGACTTAATTCCGTGCGACGTCCGTACAACACCGTGTGATTAAGATACGCAAGAAATAATGTGAAACGCGAAAGAGTATTCGAGAAGCCGCGCAATTACGTTGGATCATCGAAGGGATGGAACGAGACGAAAAAGTAGGATCATTACGGAAATGTAATGGTACAGAATAAACGCGAAGCTGTATGTTTTTTGTCATTAACGTTTTAACCGATGTGATGTAGGTATACTGGTATACGACGTAATTTTACGTGGCTATTTTCGGAAATGTTTTATACTCGTCAGAATTTAACGAACATTCCCACTGTTGTTAATTAATTTGTATACATTAGATACGAAAAAAAAAAACGATTTTATTGATTTAAAAATTTAGCTTAATACAAATTTGAAAATAATTTGTTGGATTAATTATTACTATGCAAGACGTTTAAATTGTTTGCTAGAAATGATTACTAATTTTTCTGTAGTATTGTTCATTATGCTTGTATTTTCTGTTATAATTATATCTATTTTGATAATGCATTTTTAGATCTGTATTTACATTCTTAGATACTTCAGTAAAATCGTTCTTTCTGCGTATTCGGATAAATATGAAAATTTATTAAGGCTCCTGAGTAGTCGCGACGGCCATGTTGGAATTGTGATAGGCGAGAAATGTACATTAATCTTTGTTGCATGCCACTTGTAAATAAAAACAATTTGGATAAATGTAAATGACGAGATCGCTTAAAAACACTTGTAAAAATGGGCGAAAACTGTCCTTTCCTCCTTTAATAGTCGCAGTTAGTAAATGAACGTAAAGAACACGTAAAGTGAGCCTATACTCTGGCAGAAACATAGTTCAATAGCTGATGAAACGAATGAAATATACGATTTTACGTACAAAATTTCAAGATAACTGTAGTTTCCGCCCATTTTAGGGACTTTTACGAGTACGAGAGGCAAGTCACATTTTCACAAATAAGCAAATATTAACGAAATGGCACGCAACAAAAATTTTGTCGTCAAAAAGTCACTTTTCCACGCCTATTAGTTCAGCCTTTTACCGTGGCGAGGCGTTATACACCCCACACAAACATGAGCCCATGTCTGTGTGCTTGTCTTCGGCCCGAAAATGAGCACACGGACATGAACTCGTATTTGTGTGTGTAACTACCAGTTTTGCCAAGCCACCGATTAATTCGGTGTCGCTACCATCAACACGGAGTTCTTGGCTGAGTACTCAGGAACCTTTTAAAATATCATTTAGAATTAAATATCTTATTGTCTATCTGCAAAATACTCTAGGAGATGTATCATTATCGAATGCAGTTGCGGTAACACGCGTGTTGTGAAAACTGAACGTGTGAGAAAGATTAACTAATATATCAAATAATATCATACCTGAAGGGCCCATAACGGCCAATAATTCGCCTGGCTTGACGACTCCTGACACATCTCGAAGGAGCACTCGCTTCTCCTTGACTACCTGCAATCCCCGGAAGATTAACTGCACCGGACGAGAATCCAGTGGGAATACCAACTGCAGCGCTGAGCTTTCCACTCTGTAAACATTGAAACATAGCACTTTCAGAAAAGACGCGTCTCTTGATCTTTCCGTCCTACATTTTTCAATATAAAAATTCTTATATTCTCGCGTAAGAAAATATCTACTAATATTTAAAAAGATTTTTTAAAAAATAAGATATCATTTAAGCGCAAAACTATAATTGATAATATATTTTAGATAAAAATTAAAATAAAAATCTTTAAAATACGATTTTCGAAATGGTTATAAAATTTTAAATTATACGCGGACCATTATTGGCGCGCCGATTTCATTTCGAATCTTTTCGCGTAGCTACGATAAACCATTAGCGTAGATTCTGCGGGCGAAACTGCGGAATTATCGCCGACGCTAAATGTGCTAATTGCGTTCTGCAGATCTAGATTGCCGTATCAACGCGTGACGTCGATATAAAAAAAAGGGCGTTGATTACGTCCAGACGCTTTTATCGGAAGGATATACGGCGCTAGCGAGATTAATTCGAATTTAATGATTCGTGCTGAGACATTCACGAGTATCCCATAAAGTTTCACTTTAGTGCAAACCATATGGGATAGGCGAATTTTGGTGGTCCATGTGGGAGCTGTGGAGGGAGTTGTTAAAGTAAGGTGATGTAGATTCTAGTCAGGCGTCCGCACTCGGCGCGAACGCGAGAAGCAAGCTTCATAATAACAATGACGTCTCATGGGAGTTATTTCACGACGGCAATTAAGCCTGGCGTGCGTTACGCTGAGAAATGGCGTTTCGCAATGCCAGAGAGACACGTGCGATGTTGCTGGAAAATCTTTCTCTTTTCACCTGCCGACTGACCTCTTTCGTATCCCAAGAACATTCCTCAATTTATTTGAAAATTTCCTCACATTTTTCACAATTTATTAACTATACTTGTTTACCTTTAGTAATAATAATAACCTTGATATTTCAATATTAGTATGACACTTTGTTTATTGCTTTCTGAAAACTTGTATTTCTCTTATACAATTAAAACTTATATAACTTTTATTAAAAGTTACATGAAATATGGTGTATATGTATATTAAATATTGCCATATAAATGCGTATTTTTTTTTCATTTGTAACAAAACGTATAAAAAATGTTTATTATGTTCTTTTTAATGTATGTAATAACCCAAGAGAACAAACAGTGTTATAATCAAAAAGACAAATTAAAAATTTTCAAATCATTATATACATACTATAATAATAATTTATACCTAAACTTTCTTTAATTATTATGATTATTTCATTTCTCTACTCAGTTTTATATTCTTTAGTAATATAATCCACCCTCATATACACATGCAATACACATGCAAACACATGCAATACACATGGAACACAAACGCGCGTGCGCGCACACATACACAAAAGATTTCTGTAGTCAATGCTATTATTCCTCATTCTAGAATAAAATATATCGATATAGAAGCAATCGTATATTTATATTCTTCAGAGAAGAATATTACATTTTTAAATAAAAAATTATAAAATCTATAATAAAGAATTCTTGACTATATATCGATCTCATTAATTTTCTTAATAAAAAATTTAGGTCAGACACAATATTTTTCGTTTAATATTAAACATCGATCTAAAGAAAATCTCTTATTTTATTCTTGCGGAAAGAAGTTTGCAGATTTTTTTAAGCATTTTTCGGCAATTTGATAACTAAAAACTAGGCTCAGCCAAAATGTGTACTCGACCACGTGGTATCATTGAATCACGACAGCCATGATGCATTCTTTTGCCGCCACGATGCACGTTTGCGCAGAAAAATTATTCATTTAATTAATATACAGTTTTATACTATATATCTCTATACAATATAAATTGAACTAAGATTAAGTACAATTAAGAATATCTTTTTTGAGATACATTTTTTGAATATGTACTTACTGGGGTGTGGGTGTGCATTGTTCTGTCATCAAATAATTTGAATGCGTCGTTTCCAATTCTATTATTTCTCCATTATTGAAGTTTTCTTCGTCTTGATAATTTAATAATGTTACACTTGTTAAATGTGATCCTTGATTATCTGATGTATCTCCATCTTCTATTAATATATTTGTTGAGCATCCAGGTTGGATTTCGTTCATATTGTTTTCCATGTTAATTTTATTTGTATGGTTGTTAAAAAAATGTTTTAAAAAATTTTTTTAAATATATTTTTGTATAAGTTATATCTTTGTCACAATTGTAATCTATATTACGTAAGTTTAAATGTAAAGTTCTAACAAGCACGTGTATGATTCTCTTCCCAAGTAGCTATTTTGTATACTGAAGCGGTTAATAAAGAAGAAACTCCGAAATCTGTTCAACCAGTGTTACCAAATTTTCCTTCCAATTTTAGGGAATTTTCATTTCCATCAAGGATTTTTAGAGGAAACAACACTTTTTGAAACGGAAATACAAAGCTATTTGTAGTTAATAAGAACCAATCATAGCAGACTTATCGGCACGAATTCGTCACATCCATTTTTAATACTATTTGTTATAGATTTTTGTAGAGTTTTACAAAAATTTTACAAAAATCTACAAAAAAAAAAATGCTAGAATTTGAACACTTTTGTTAATTTTGTGAAATTTTTTCAGCATTTATCACATTTAAAAAAAAATTTTATTTCCTAAAGTTGGGCCCTAAATTTTCTCTAAATTTTCCTTCAACAGTTTGCAACGCGAGGAAGAATTTAGGGAAAATTTAAGGCTCGACTTTAAAAATCATTTAAATAGCGATCATAAGTCTGCGATTCATAATTTCTGCATTACCTGAACTTATACACATGTAGAAAATAATAATAAGTATATTTTCAAAGGCGTGTTCTGATTCCCATCTAAGGTAAATGTACCAGTTCGTGGACACGATCGAATTGTTGGACAAATTGTGACAATTTTAAATATTAAGCTTTTCATGATACGTGTTACTCTAAATAAATTTTTAAGCAATTTTTCCATATTATTTAGAAATTAAGTATTATATAATTTATTCATATTAAAAATGATACTTTTGTAAAAAAAATTTTGTTTATGGACAATCGTCCATTTATTAGGACATTCACACATATGCGTGTATCAATTATTGGACATTCTTTAGTGTACCTGTCTACTGCAAACATATTTTGTGTATATATTACATATAAAACTTTATATAAAACTTCATTAATTACAATTTCGATAAACTTTTTTGAACAATCTTGATTGATAAGTAAGTAAAATGCGATTCTCTTCTATAATAAGAAAATTGCTTATTATTTGTCCAATAATTGGGTTATACTTTTGTGGACACAGAGACACGTCATATTTTTTGTCCAATAATTAGGACATTTGAATCATATTATATTTATGACTAAATACAATTTATAATAAACGCAAATAACACATTTGATAATGGATTTAATTTCAGAAAACATCCATTCTTACTAAGCATGTATAATAAACTAAAATTTTAATGTTTCTAAAGTTTAAATAAATGATTTCGTCGTGCAATTCCTTAACTGTCCAATAACCGGTACATTTACCTTAAGTGTTCTTCGAATCATGTCACTCTTGTTTAACGTTCGGTAAACAACAAGGATAACATGATATTCGGGGTGCACTCAGGTGAGAAACTAAACATGCCACAAATGTGGACAGAAAGGAAAAAAAGATAAACGTGAAACTTTGGCTAAAAGAACAGACCTCGTGGTCAATCGATAGGATATAAAATGTTAAACACAAATGCATTTCGTTTTTCTCTAGTTAAAAGACATAATGTACTTCAAAATGCCTATATTTTTTCAGCAGATAAATTAATGGTAAAAAAATGTTGAACATCTCAGAATAACTTAGACCGAAATCAGACTAGGCATTGAAGATTGAAAACTGAAATTTGACCAATAAAAATAAAGGAATTTTAGCTTCAATTATTTTGATTGGTCAAATTTTAATCTGCCAACCTTCAATTTTAATCTTCAATGCATAGTCTGGTTCCTTACGACAAATCTTCCAACATTGAACACCTACGCCATCTCCAATACAATAAATGAATTTTTTGACAAAAGCATTTTGAAAGTTTGTTTCTCATGTAGATCATACAGTTTCTTCATTTCTTATTCAATTACTAATTTTAATGCCTGTAGTGTAAAAGCTCACAAAATTTTCTTTTTATACAGTAAAACAATATTAACTTAAAATTAATGTTTTAAAATAATAAATAAATGGTTAATGCAAACATAAAAAAATTTTAATGTAAGCAAAAATAACATAATAAAAGTAATTATAAGGCTCAATATGTATAAAACAGTATAAATATAAAGAGGGCAACGAGCCAAGTAAAAAATATATATATAAAATACTACAAAATAATATACATATACATAATATACATGACATATATTTTTTTATATAATACTATATGTACATTTAATTTATATTAAAATTAGACAACAATTTAATTAAAAAGTAGACTCTCGAAAATTTCAAATAACAAGAATAAAAGGGGCTAATGAGAGTATACTCGCTGTTGTTGGTGCGATCAAATATAAGATATATTGTAGTAAAAAAGAACAAAGAAAATTAATACAATACTAGACGTTTCGAGCTACATCCGGGCCATCTTCAGTAGTTATAGAATCGCACAGAAAGGCCATGGGTGGATGGAACAGTGGTCACTCTCAACGTTATCAATCAAATCCACATGGTTGAGTCATGTGCAATTGAATAGATGAGGAATCCACACATCCATGGTACAATGACAACGCATCCGAATAACAATAGAATTAATACAAAAAATGTCAAAAAGTCAAAAATATATAAAATAATGGTCAAATATAAAAATTAGACGTTGACCACCATAAGGTGGTCAGAATATAAGTGATGGCCCAGATGTAGGCCGAAACGTCTAGTATTGT